CAAGTACACCTGTCTTTTATGACGATGAAGGAGCAACATGATATGAATATTCTTCAATGGTGGAACCAACATGAAAGTCGATTCCCCATTGTAGCCCAAATGGCACGTGACATTTTATCTACAATTGCATCCGAGTCAACATTTTCAACGAATGGTCGGATTGTTGAAGACAGAAGATGTTCTTTAACCGATGAGATGATTGAAGCGATAACGTGTTTACAGGATTGGACTCATGCAGAAAGAAGACTACAACAGCACCCTGAAGATCCCGAACTACTCAAACTCTTTAGGAATACAGATTTGAATGATGTAAATATTGATGATGATGAAAATGAATAATTTAATAAAAATTATTTAATTGTTTATTTGTGAAGCGTGAATGTGTGAAATGTGAATTTATGTTAAAAATTAAAATTAACTATTAATTTAAATTTTTAGAAACTTACTAATCTACCCTTGAAAAATACTAAAAACCCCCTATAAAATTTTATTTTGCCCCTAAAATATAAAAAAAGATCAGGGGAGAAAAGAAATTATCCAGGCCCATAGGACCAGTCCTAGGGACCGGTCCGGGTCCTAATATTGCTCATGGGCCTAGGACATCCCAAGGCCCATGAGCGACTGGTCCTATTTGGGACCAGCTCTAATTTCAGTATTAAAAACAACCATTGTATTGAGTAACATGAGTACAAGAAAGAAAATAGAAAAACTTCTCTAATTGGTGAAAAAAACTCCAAGAATTCTTATCTCCAAAACAGTGGTTGCTCTTCTCTCTTTTTTAATCTCCCTAAAAACTAATTAAAGACCCTTATTATAAAGGCTAGGTTTGGAGGTTAATCAGGAAAGAATTAAATGCCTCAAATTAGTCATATTTGGACTAGGAAATAAAACAACCCATCTAGGCCCACACTCCATCATTGCTGTGACAGAAAGAACGATTGCTGTGCCATGAGTATAGAATCTTCAGAATTTGGCAAAGTCATCAACACAAACTTTGTAGCTATCTGAATAAGCTTTCCAACTTCACAAGTATCATCAAATTCTGATTTATACAACTCAAGTATGATCAAAACATTGAAGCATGCTCATGTTGAAGAATTTCCAAGTTTTAAGTCTCATCTTCAAAGCATCATAACTTCCTCATTTCAATTCCGATTCTTGCACCGTTTGTTGCTACTTGTCACAAATTTCATTGACATAATCCTTCTTCATTCAAACATTATTTATAACCTGAAAATAGTCAAAATATACCCATGATCTCATAAACGGTATTTATGAAATAATTAATTCAAATTTTGCAATTTAAACTAATTTTGCCAAAATAATCTAATTGAATCACTAACTAAACACATATTTTCAAGCTCTTATCATCCATATCCTTAATTTAATGAAATTTCGGCAATTGTAGGTGCAAAATATCATTCAGAGTCAGTTTAGGGATCAGACAACTAACATGTTTTGTCTTCAAGTGCTTGGTGAATCTTGGATGGTGGAGATACATGCTGAGATTTGATTGGTGGAGAAGTCTGCTGAGTCTTGATTGGTGGAGATGATGTCAGCATATTATTTAGGCATAACAAAAACAATAGAAATTAAATCTTATATTTAGGGGGCGTTTAGATTATATAATGTTTTACTATAGGGTGATATTATATTAACGGAAAGAAAGATCACCTTGAAGATTATTGGGAATGTTTAGAAAATGTGTTTAGTTGGTTCGAATAAATTGGTGAATAATATATTTGGTTGGGAGGATAAATGGGTGGGTATGTTATATAGATTACTAAATTGCCCTCCTTTTTAAATATTAATATAATAGTATTTATTATTATTATTTTTTGAATAATTTCTTTTAACCCCCTACTTTTCAGATTTAGCAAAAACACCAAAGTAACCAAAAACGTTTTAAACTTAACAAAAATACCCCTACTCAGCCCAAGCTACTGCTGGCAGCTAGCCACCACCGGCAACAGTGCCACAGATTTGGTCGTGACGCTGGCGGTGCCACAGATCTGGCTGTGAAACGCTAGCCAGATCTTGCCATTTCCGACAGATCCATGGCTGAAAAATGCCTCACCAACAACACACGACTGGCCATATACAACTGGTTATATGCCATTATGGTGACTTGGGCAGCCTTCGGCGGTGGTTGGTGGTGGTGGCCAGTTCTAGTACAATGACATTTCTGTAAATAATGACAATAATAAGGGCAATGTCATCTAGAAAATTTAAAAAATGAGTACAAAAGGGTCTGCACATTGTTTTAAAACCCGACCCGGCTTGGCTGGGACCCGGCTACTGAGTCGAGCTGGGCTAGGCAAAAAACTGGGAAAGCTGTTTTACCTTAGGGTTGCACCGTATTCACTGTAGCGACCCGCCGATCCAACCGGTTTTTGGGATAAACCGGGTGAAACATTAAACCCTGCCTTTAATACCCTAAACCGATTTTTTCTCCTTTTTTCTTCTTTCCATCGACCGAACTCTACTCTCTCTGTCTCTCATTTGCGATTGCACGTCGATTTCTTGGTCAACATCTTGCTTTCATCTTCATCAGCGGCAGCCGGCAACTTGGTTTCATCTTTATCATGGCTTAAACCGATTTTTCCCCTATTTTTCCTTAACACAATTCACCCATTTTTGTGATTTCCTTCGCACCCACTTTTTGATTTCCCTCAAATCTTCCATCGGTGACTCTCATTTGCACAATTTCCTCTTTTCACCGTCAATCATCTCCTCTTCGTCATCAGCTCCAGATCATCTTTGTCAGGTACTGTCAAAGTCGATCTCTTCCTCTTTCATCTCTCTTTAAGTTTTGTGTTTCATCTCTCATTTCCAATTTATGGGTTTTTAGTCTAAAATCAAAATCAGTGTTGTGAGGAAGAAGAAGAAAAGCAGTAGAGACATTGAAAATTGAAGTCTTGTGGGTGAACAAGGCTCCGTTTGGTTCAAAATTTGGGGGTTTTGGGAAATTTTTTTTGAAAAAAGTTAAAAAAAAGTTGAATTGGGCGGGTATTACGATGTAGAATTTATAAATTAATAAAATACCCTTTTATGTTTGTTTTTTTACAAAATACCCCCTATAATAAAACATTAAAAGTTAACAAAAATACCCCTAACCCACCCTCAAACACCCCCAGCCGACGACCACCACCGGAGGTGGCCAGAGTCGCTGTATGGGCGTATGACCTGTTGGATCTTACCGGTCATGCGTCGCTATGGCCTTTTCCGGCCAAATCCACGGTGGATCTGGCCGGAAAAGGCCAGATCTACGGTCAGATCTGGCCGTATTTGCTTTCAACGACGGCCAACAAACGGTCGTCGTTGATAGTCAACGACGACCGTTTGTTGGCCGTCGTGACCGAGTGTTACGGCCAAAGATCTGGCCGTCAACGGCCAAATCTTTGGCCTTAGATCTGGCCTTTTCCAGCCAGATCCATGGTGGATCTGGCCGAAAAAGGCTAGATCGGCGCACTACCGGCCAGATTCAGCTGGTAGTGCGCCATCCTACCAGATTCCGGCCATTTTCCGGTAGTGGTGGCCGGAATCTGGTAAATGTGGATTGTTGGGGTGTTTTTGTAATTTTAAAAAAAATATTTAGGGGTATTTAATTAAATTAACAAATTTAGAGGGTTTAAAAAAAATTAAATAATATTGAAAATAGTATTCCCAAAAATGAGAGATTTTGGGTATTTTACTGTTTAACTTTTTTGGGAATACCAAGAGTAGTATTCCCAATCTTGAACCAAACGGAGCCCAAATAACCTTGAGACTTGGTCATGAAAGTGACAAATTTGGTTTATGTGCCTATCATTTTCTATTCTTAGGTTTCTTTTTCCAGTTTTTTTGAATGTGTGGGGACGTTTTCTAGATGTGACAATGGCTTCCCTTTCTCTTTATTGAAAATGTTGGAGCTAGGTTGAGAGTGGGGTGAAGTGGTGCTTGTCTGGGTCCTTCCTTGTGTTTTTTTCCTTTTTCTTGGTCTTGGTTGGCGTGTTGTTGGGCAGGAGTGTGGGATGCTGCTGCTGCAGGTTGGAGTGTGTTTTTTTTTCTTGGTTGCTGCTGGGATCCTCCTTGTGAGCTGCGGTGTGGCCAGTTGCAGTTTTTGTTAAGGATTGTATTGATGTTTGAACTTTGATGGTGCTTTGTTAAGGATTTGTAATTACTTGTAGGGATTGTATTGATGTTTAATGACGGTTTGTTAAGAATTTTTTTAGGAATTTGTGATTTGGAATTCTGGAATTTGATTTTTTTTTTTTGGGACGACGTCATTGATTGAACCAGCCAGTTGAACCGGTCAACCCGGGACCCGATCAGTTTACTGGGTTGTGCCTTGGGTTGGTTTTTAAAACATTGGGGTGAATTGGGTGTTCTGTAAATCTTATCCCCCAAATGCCACTGTTTGTCATAAAAGATTTCGGGAATAATTTTCTACAAACCAACCAAACATTGTCATTTGCTCAATTTAAAATATATTACCCTAATTATCTAATATTACCCCCCATCAAAATGGGCCCTTACTAGTATTTAAGTTTACTTAACGGTTATCATGGGAGGTTTGGAATAGTTTTCCAAACTTGAGGGGAGGTGAAGGATAGTATTTCATACTTGTGGGTGTCCTTAACCAAAACCCAAACCCAGGGTAGATTTGGATAGTAACCGTGAAATAATTTTTTTTTGGTCTTAATTAAAAATGGTAAACACTGGCGTCAAATTTGAAACTGCCACGCAAAGACACGTCCGTAATTTCCTCTCAGCCTACATGGCTACATATAATACAAGAACGGAAGCCGGGTCAGTTATCTATACACGTCAGCTTCAGCTACAACATTAAACGTTGAGCATGCCCACACTCCACTCCATCACCTTTTGCATATATAACGCGAATGCCCATCTATGAATCGTTTGGCTCGCCTGGGCACCCCAATCAACTCGTCCGAGTTACGTCGATATTATTTATTTACCACCGCTAAAACCAGAATCCGTCTCCGTCGTTCTATTACTACCCTTCCTTTATCACTCCACAGACAATTCTCGCCCTCATTGATCCTCAAATTTACCTCGTTTGCCACCGTTAATAACCCAAACTTTCCCTCCATGGAACCGAATCCGCCGGAGTCGGTTGAGGATTTTATTCATATCGAGAATCCGAACCCTGACAACGTTGAGGCACTGAGTGAGAGCGTTGTTAGTCTTGGCGAGAGCGTGGTTAGTTATGGGGATGAGGTGAGAGATTCGGGCGATGCCGTTTCGGAGGAGACGAAGAAGGAATTGCCTGAGGAGCTATCGAAGAGCGTGGTTTTCCTCACGTGCGAGTCATCCGCCGAAGGCGGCACTTGCGATGTGTATGTTGTTGGAACTGCTCACATTTCCCAGGTGATCATTTGATTAGGTTAAATCTGTAATTGGGTTAATTACATTAATTGATTTGTTTTAACTTTTTATTATCTTAAAATTTGGTAATTCAGTTAGAATTAGATTCAGTTGTCTTAGAATAAAGTTGATGGATTAGAAACTGAAATGAGAAGAGAAAAATATAATACTTTAGGGAAATTCTTTGTTATTAGAATAATGTGTTTTGGTAACTTGACAATGTTATGCAAGTTGCATCCAGCAATTTGTTACTAATATTCTAGTAATGTTATTGGTCTAGTATGATATTATGACCTGTTATTTAAACACATTGTTGTTACTTTTGCTGATTTTATGATATTGCTTGATGGTTGTGGTAATACTTGATAATACGGTTGCAGGATTCATGCAGAGAAGTGGAAGCAATAATTGATTATTTGAAACCACAGGTGCTTTCTCTTTCAAAATTCACTAACACTTGATTCATGGATGGATCATTTTTTGCAGGTTAGCTACCTGCTTTGGAAATTTATCCTCCTGCAAATATTTTGAACTTTTCTTGGAAGTAAGTTTACATTTATGAATCTGTTTTCATTCATTGCAGGCTGTTTTCTTGGAATTATGCTCAAGTCGGGTGGCTATCCTTACTCCTCAGAATCTAAAGGTTTGCATCTCAGTTTATTAACAAATTCCTTTTCAAGTTTTCATCTGGTTGTTGAACTTATGTGTAGCTCACCAGGTACCCACCATGGGAGAAATGATAGAAATGTATAAGAAGAAGCATAACATGTTTGGAATACTTTACAGTTGGTTTCTTGCCAAGGCATGTTCTGTAATTTTTACGTCTGTCTATGTGTTTGGTTGTTTATCTCGTCAATTGATTGACTCTTTTATTTAAAAACATAATTTGTTTCTTGATTTTCTGTTAGGTCGCTAGTAAGCTCGAGGTTTTTCCTGGTTCTGAGTTTCGTGTAGCATTTGAAGAAGCAATGAAGTATGGTGGCAAGGTGATACTTGGTGATCGTCCTGTACAGGTAAGATATTTGACTAATTGTTGTATGGAATTCTTTCATTTTCCTTTCAGTTCATTATTTTTTCTTTGTTTCTTAATTAATAAAAAATTTGTTTAGCTCCCATATGGGCTCAATTCATGATAACTGCCAGATCAAGGTCTGATTCTAATATACCTGCCTTCTTTTGTTTTGATGCAAACTTCAAATGTTTGACTGTACCAAAGGTTTACTGATGGTTTTTTTTTTTATTAAGTTCACTCTGCTTGCATTATTGAGTGTTCATTTAATTTTTCTTATGCATTTGTATGTATGTTTATTTATTTGTCTATTTTATTGTGGTGCTTATGTTTAGACTTGATTTTAACAGATTACACTGCGGAGGACCTGGGCAAAGATGCCGCTTTGGCATAAGGCAAAATTACTGTATTCCTTGATTTTTCAAGCATTCTTCTTGCCTAGCCCTGAGGATCTTAACAAAATGGCAAGATTTACCCTCATATTTTATCTTCACCTTGAAGAGTTATTTTTGGTTAAAATGCATCAACCTTTTGCTCTTTGATGCAAGATAAACTAAAGTTAGGGACCCTTTTAATGCTTTTGAGTTTGGTTAATGTTAATTTGAAGTTGTTTATCCTCAGCTGAAGGACATGGACGACATTGACATGCTGACCCTTGTGATTCAAGAGATGAGCAAAGAATTCCCAACTTTAATGGAAACCCTTGTACATGAGCGAGATAAGTGAGTATTTAACTGGCTTTATATATTTGTTAAATTTGGTATTCTGTTGCAAATACTGCCCTCATGTCCTAAATTTTCTGTAGTGGTGCACAACTTTGGTTCACCTCAGCATTGTTCTTTATTTTTTATTTTTTTCACTTCTGATGAGTGAAATAGGAAGATAATCCTCTATAATAATAATAATAATAATAAACCTGTTGGTTTTTACTACATCTTATGTATTCCCTTGCTTGGTATCTGTGGCACACCCGAAGTGTGAAAATAATGACAGGGTGGCTTAAGATGCTTTTTGAATTCTGTTTACTAAGCAGAATCCAGATTTGAAGTTGAGCTGCCTTATTTTGTGTTTAATCCCAGCAACGATTTTCGTTTATTCTTCTGGGTTCCATTAAATCTTGTCCATAGACCAGCTTCTCTTGGGCACAGTTGATAACACGAACTGCATGTTTCATATATATAATCTTAATAATACTACACTTACAAATACTCTAGACAAAGTCTCTCCCTACAAAATGACGTGTCAGATTATGATCGAATGAATTAATATAAAAAAATCAATTTAATAAATACACATTAAATAATTGTGAATGATATGGTAATGCAAGAGCAGTGCCACATCATTTTGTATGGATGACTTTGTATAGAATCTTTATAAGTGTAGTATTACTCATATAATATGTATTAATGTGGAGCATGTTAACTGATTTAAGTTTAAGAGGTTCATTCTACCCAGCTGGCAATGAATGAAGTTTTTGAAATTTTTTGGGAATACAAATAATTAATATTGTCCATTCAATGAAACTTTGTGAAAAGTCACCCAATTCATATTTACTATATGCTTTTGTACATAAATTTTGCTTTTATTACCCTAGTTAGTAATCCTATGAAAAACTCACTTCTAATTGCTATGGTGATGTTGAGAACTCATACAGGCTTTATATTTGCTTTTGATAAATTACTTTTAGAGATTGTACTTTGTAATTTTACTAATCAATGTTCTCAATTCTCATTCTAACTTATGAAATCACGGGGCTTCACTGTGTTCATACTTCATTTCTTATGTTACTTTGCATATAATTTTGTTTTCCTTATTCTGAATTACTTGCGTGCATATTCAGGTACATGTCATCATCATTGTTAAGAGTTGCTAGTGAGCATAATTCAGTGGTTGCTGTTGTTGGAAGAGGACACCTACAAGGAATTAAGAAGCACTGGAAGCAACCTGTTTCGGTATTTTGCCAATATGCTTTGTTGAAATCGTGTACCTTAACACTTCGAAGCAGTCCATTAGTAGTTAAAACACATATAGGAAGCTTTTGGATGCATAATATGCTGTTGATCCTACCTCTTATACGAAAAAGACTAGTGTCCTATTTTCTCAATAATTGTTATCCTGGCTCGTGATTTATTTTGTTTTGAAAAGTTGAATATAGCTTTACTAAGAGTCATTCTACCATAATGGCTCTATTTTGAAATATTAATAGGATTAACTTTACCCTTACTCCAGGATCCTTCAGAATTCAATATAAATGCATGCAAATATCATAGAAATTTTCTGGCGCAAGCATAAAATAAAAAAATTCTGACATGCATGCCTAGATTTTCATACTATTTATTGCTTTTTCATTTTGTGTCGCAGACAAACGATCTTATGGCAATTCCTACACAGAAGCCAGTGCTTTCTGCCGCAAAAATTCTTACTACTATTGGTGTTGCGGGTGCTGGGGCAGCCATCATCTCGGGCGTATATCTTAAATTCAAAAAATAAATTGCCAGATTTTGTCTGTGATTATATCTTGAGGTTCAGGCAACAGAGGTTTCTTAACTGAAAGAAAAAGTTTTAGAATTGGGAAGCTACAAAACAAATAAGACACATAAAGGACTTCGTACACGTGTAAATTTTTGGCTGGTGATTAGTTCATTTGGTGAAGGTAACAGCTACCTTATGTGAAAGTTTCTTATTAGTTTTGTCTCTGTAATTTGTGAACTTTTAATTGGTAATCACTGGAACATGACAACGTAAAGATAAAATTCTGCGTCGTATGAACAAGTCCATGTTAGTTTATTGCAGATACAATGTTAATAAATAACTCTTGGGTGAAGAACTGAATATTAAACCTGAACCGAAAGCCCATGGGACATCTTATGAATGGCGATAAATTTTGTATAGTCCTTGAATTTTGAGAGAATATTATTAGCTTATTTTCCCAATATTTTTGTTTATGTATTCCTGAAAGAAGGAGATACCATAATATTAATGTATTCCCTTCGTTAGGTTTGATAAACAAACCCATTTATTCTAAGAAAGTTTTTACGTGAATTTCATCCTAATTTAACAACAGGATTAATAAGTAATGCGTGCACATGCATAGATCGATTTTGAATACACATGATTTATCTATAAAACAAATGAATTTTGGATTTTACTTTAATTACGACTAATATGTTACATAATGTTCGTATGAAAACATTTATGTTAATTTCAAACGGTTGATTTGATAATTAAGGAGATTTGATATTTTTCTTGAATTTTTAGGTTCAAACCTTATAATCACTTATCATAATAATATTATGACTTAAGTGATTTTTGAGCTAAATCCAAACTGGTTTGAAAAAAAAAAAAAAAAAAAAAAATTGTATTTTACACTAAGATTCGTATTTACATATCAAGTACAGAACGACATGTCGGTTTAAATACTCGATACGGTCGAAGACCAAGACCAAGAGCCGGGCATGAATGACAGTAAATGCAAAACAAAACCAGAGTACAGAATATAGATAAGATTCCCTCATACCAGGGTTTCGTTTTGCTTTGTTATAGTCTTCAGGCTCTTGGGTTTTCATCACTTCTAAGTTCATGGCTTCCTGGTTTCTCTCAGTTACGGCAATGGGTCTTTTCTCTCTTGACTCTTCTTTTGTTGTTTTCTTTTAATTTCTCAGTAACCAAATAAAGAAAAGGCATACTGTTCAAAATAGTCTCTGAAATTTTTTACTTCTCATATTGTGCGGGGATCATCTTGGCAAGTAAAGTTGTTTATAATTACAACTAGTAAATTCATTTTTTCTTATTCTCTTATTATATCACCATTTAAATATGGTGGAACGAAAGCTCTTCAAAACAAAGTTATGCGTATTGTATCAAAGCGGTCGCTGTACGCGCCAAACTTGCTCCTTTGCTCATGGAGATGCTGAGCTTCGCCGATCTTTTGGCTCCTATAACGGTAACTTTAGCTCATTGTCGCACTATTCTATAATTAATTGCCTTACTAGTTATTTACTTCATCTGGGTATATAGAATATTTGAGGGTTACTTTATACATTTTTAGCATAGATATAAGTTTAATCTTTTCTGTTAATTTTAAGGCATAATAGTTTGAAGATTTAATGACTTTCTGAAAGTTGTGTGTTTTCTTATATGGTCGTTTGCAAATGCTAGAGTTGTTTTATTCCATGCTTTGGATTTTCTGAAAATTTATACTTTGTATAAAGAGCATTTGCTATCAATCTTCACATGTAGAATAGTTTCTCCTCTATATTACGGAAAATAAATCTGCCTTTGAAATATGCTTATTTCTCACTGGTTTGTTGTGGCTGGAATATGTTTTGACTAAGAGACCTTGGCTCAATTAGAATTCCTTGTTTGGAGTGAAATGCAAAGTTATTAATGATAATTTGCTATGAATTTCATGCTTTCTAGTTTTGCACTAGTTTATTTGTTCTTAGTAAATAAATCTTATGGGGCTGGGTGACATCTAAATTGGGTGGATTGTTATTCTTTTAATTGTTTATGCAAAGTAAAGTTCAAAAGAGTCCTCATACACTACAGAGACATGTCTTTTAGGAGATTATAGTGATTGTAGAAATTATCAAAAATATCTTGTTGGGACACTTTGAATTATATAAGCGGAGTGGCTGTTTTGTTAACAAATAAAATATCAACTGACAGGTTTAGTATTGTTTTCCATCAGAATGGATATGCTGGTTGGTAATTCTTAAAGGCGATTATGGTATTTTTCGTGGTGATCTTTTTCTTGGTTTATCTTTGTGCATCTATGAAACAGAAAAGTCTTATTGAAGGATCAATATTAATTTTTCTGGAAAATATATTCTTCCGCACCATTGGGAATTTGGGACCACAGGCCTGTTTGGTGAACAGTTGAATGTAATCCTAATAATTTCTTCACTTTGTATGTTCTTGGAGCATGTGATCATCACTATATTTGTAACATCTCCATCAATGATATTGGGAAGGGATTTCCTGGATGGGGATGAATCACTGTATGCAGTTTTCAGGGAGTGGAATGGATTATAACTATATCATAATATGGCATCGAGGAGAAATCAGTACCTATCAGATTGTATTGCTATTGCTGAAGAGGAATCTGAGGAAATGGAGATTATTATTTTATCAACGCTACTTTGATATATGATGGACAAAAATTTCAAATATGGATTTTCTATTTCTATGCATTATATGAGAGCCCTTGTTTCTATTATCCCTTTGGAACTGGCAAGGAGGCACTATTACTATTCATTATTATGTTAACCATATTTTTTTCTATATGATGGTAAGGTTAGACAAATTATTGTTTGTAGGCTCTCTGTTTTTTCTTTTTCTTTTTTGTTGGTGTGACTGAAAAGGTAGATGAAAAATGACTAGTCTGCTGTATTGGAAACTCTCTGCTTTCACAGTTGCAGGTAGGAGGGACTATAGAGTTAGTGACTTGAGGGATAAGCTTGATAGGAGGCTTTCCCCGCAGCGAAGGTATTCTCCAGGAAGTGATGCAGGAGGTAGACATACATTTCACGGTCAGTAATTGCATCACTATATTTTCTTTTAAATTCCTTCCTGTCATTTTGTTGTATGAAAGAGACCAGTTTAGTTACTTTGCAGATAAATGTGACAGCTCCTGACCACCCGTTTTAAACTAAAACCTTTTTTTTTCCCCCATAGATGGTTTGTCACAATAGATTTTTCCCCCCTTTTTTAGTTACTCTTCTTTATCCCTAATGTCGAGGGTGTAATTCCTGATCAAATTTAAAATTGCAGGACTTAGCCCTTCCAGGTCTCTTGAGAAGGAAAGGTAATATTCTTGTTTTATGATTATTATTATTATTATTTGGTCAGTTTTTGGTGCCGATGATTTTACTGTATTTGAGTAATCTACTGATTTTAAGTGTTTCCTTTTTTGAAATGCTGTCTGCCATATCATCATGTGCATTGTTATCTTGGCATTTACCTTTAATTTCTTTTCCTGTTAGGGTTTACAATATTGTTAAATATCTAACTTCCAATTCTTTTAAAAGAAAAGAAGGATGCAGTAGGAGGGACAGTGGGATAGATGCAGATAAAGGGGATAAATATTCTGAGGTGAGAGGCATAGAATGCAAAGCAACAAAGTCTGAAGGGGACATGAATAGCCAATAAAGTTTTTGTGAGACTTGTATTATGTAAAATGGTACTTTATGACTTGATTAGGCAGATATTCTTTTATTGGGAGTTGATACTGAAGTTGACCGTTATGTGTCTTTTCTTTCTAAATCTCACATCATTCTTAATTATGGTAGAGTAGTTTGCTTATATTCCATTTTGGGAGCTTAAAAGTTCCAGTCCACTGAAATCTTTTGCCAGGTTTGGCAACCAATAACAGGCCCATAAAATTTCCATCAATTGACTTATGTATGAATGACTTTCTATATCTTTACTTTCTGTGGTCCATTAAAATATCAATTTAGAAGTATGAAACATCCTAATATCATCTATTCTTTATGTATGTTCATGGAAGTATTTCATGTTATTTCTTATGCTTACATATATCAGTTATAAAATTACTTTCTATGCAAACTAGTAAAAAACAATAGCATATTCTTTTACTGTGACAGAAAACGCAGGAGGAAGCAGCACATTGATGGGCAAAATGATTCCTCTGGAAGTTTGAAAATCTTGGATGGGATTGGAGATCGTGTTAAAGACAGAAAATTTACTTCTTCAGGTTCCAAAATTATCCTTCAGGAGCAGGTTTGAAGAACTTAGTTTAATTAGTGTCATTTAGACCTTTGTATTTTGAGAAAAAACTTATTTTGGTCTAATTGTTTGGAAATTTGTGCAGTTAAAAGAAGTGCAGTCGGATATTAGCACGCTTGAGCTCCAAAAACATCAATTAGAGGTTAGTCAATCTCCTTCTGGTTGTTGTTACTTATCAATCATCATGTGTGGCCAATCATGTCACCTTTTTTTTTTTTTATTTAATCTGTCTTCTACTTTTTGTTTTCTATCATGCCAAATTTATATTTAGAGTTAGTTTTTAGTTGTTTGGATGCTTAATTTTGTCCGACATTTAAATGGAAATAAACAAATATTAGGTTGTTTTTTTTTGAATTTTTTTTTTTAAGATTTCTACGTTGTCATGTATGCAAATAATTTGAAATGTATATTCTTTAGGGACATTGCGTCTTGCTTTTGTTATTTAAAGTAGTTGAAATAAACGATATGGTTCTATTAGATTCAATTTCTCAACTTCTTTTTGGTAAATTTTAGTTTAAAGTTCTTATCAAATGTAATTTTACTTCAATCCTGTCCTATCCTTTAAGTATTTCAGTTTATTTTTTTGTTTCTTTATTCTTTTTAATGTTTTTTCTGAGGTTTGGTGAACTGCTTGTTCACCTTATTTGTAATCCTTTGTCTTGTAATCAGTAATAAAATTCTCTTGTTTCTTATGGTAAATTTGAACTCCTAGAAAGTGAGTTTAGTGTAAATGAAGATATAAATGAGGCTAGCCATTGAAAATAGATGTGTGAACTTAAGATAACCAAAGATAGCCAACTATAGGTGTATATTTCTCACTTATAGTTCGAGTTGACTGCCTCAGATTGATGGGTGGAAGCATGAGCCACTATGATTTTAATTTGACGCTGTTTGTTTACATCATTCTGTGTTATTGTCATGATGGCTATTAATTTTTTTTCCTGCATCCATGTGTATGAATTTAAGGCACAGTATTCATCGCCTGATGTATTTGTTTTTTAAAGATTGATGTGGATGAGAAGGTTCAAGAAGCAGATATTCTTTCTTCTAGGATTAAGGAGCTTCAGACTCAACTAAATAAGGAGAAAGAGGAGTGTAAAAGGTGATCATGAAAATAGCCCTTTTTTTTTGTTGAAATGTTATTAAACCAGTCTTCAGATAAAAAGTTGGTTCAAAACTGTAAGCAGTCATTTTTTTCATAAACAATTTGGTAGTCTTGTATCAAATGTGTTTTCCAATATTAAAATAATTTGAGAAACAACTCAAAAGTTTTAGATTGTCTTAATTTCTCAAAATTGTTTTCAGGTCACGAACATTCACCACTTTTCTTCTCTTTATCTGATCATGTATCATTTACTTGAATGGACTACTGATTATCCCTCTCTCACCCAGTTCCTATGGCCAATTGAAATATGCAGGATAGCTTTGAAAATCAAGAAATTTATTAAAGAACATAACCGTCACGTAAGGATCCAAGATGAACTTAAGAGGCAAGTTATGGTTTGCATTAAACAACTTCTGTGCAATTCTTTATTTTGTTGATGTGCTTTTATGAATTTTATGGTTTAATATTTTGGTTTATTATGTCTAAATTTGCAGGTCACAAGCACGACTTCAGAAGTTGGGTAATCAACTTGGCTCAGATGCTACTGTAACTGGTGTCAATGAAGAGGATTCAAGCATCAATATTGTAAGTGATGGAGAGACTGCCAATAAACATCTAATCAGCCCACAGAATGATGTCTTGACTATATCTTCTCCAAAGAAAACAAAGCTACATGTTGATCGGGTCACTGCTGAAGAATCCATACAAGAAGGTACTTTAACTGAATTTCTGACATTATGCGGAGTATATAAATTCTGCTGAATTACCTCCCAGTTCCTGGACTTCTCATTGTCTTAAATTCATAAAAGGTACAAATTAAATACTTGGTGGTCAGAATGACCGTATTCTATGTTAATTTAGGAAATTAGGAATGCTAGACCCTAGTTCTTGTGATCTTACCTTATGTGATTTTGTGTACTGATTTGATATAACTGAGCTGACATACGTGTGGTAGAACTGTTTGTACATTTTAGGCAAATAGTATCTATTTTAGAAGTGTTTAAAGTGGAGTGGGGTATTGTTGGACTTGAAGGTCATATATGAGGTTAAATGCCAATCATCAGTGTAATAAGTCCAGCAAACAGTAGTGAAACCCATTTGCTGTTGTGGTCTTTGATATTATATTTGTATTTTCCACCATATCATGTTTGCCCTATTGTTATTTATGCTGTTTTTATGGGTCTTTTAGCCAATTTAACAAAAGATAGAGGACGGTGGACTGAATCTATTCCGTCGGAGAAAGTTTCTCGGTGGAATGTGCACCCATTTCAATCTAATGTTGGCATAGAAGTTGAGGCTGTAAACGATGGAAACAGTAACCATGGACCTTTATTAGATCAAGGCAAACTGAAGAGAAGAAAGAATATCTCTACTAGCTTCCCTGCTGCAGATAAGGTCATCTTTTACTGATTATTTTTATCTTTTTACTGTAGAATCAGAGTTTTCTCACTGTATGTAAATTGTTAATGACGTCTAAACTCCTAGTGTGGGCAAGTGCCAGAGTTTTAATTCTTTTGCATGTTCTTTGTTATAGCTGTGCCTTGGGAATCACCACTTTTAGTAAATTTGTCTTTCTGATCCATCAAAACTCCTTAACAAATTTGATCGATGGTATGAAAAGTATAATAAAATTTGTAAGGAAAGCTGCTGAAAGAAAGTTAAAAGGATATCAAAAGTGAATTATTCATGTTTAACTATCTGTGTTGGAGGATAGGGAAGATTTTGACCATTGCATAATCAAATGTGCAGTTGACGAATTTGGGATCCGGGAATCTATTACCATCAACCAGCATTGCTGCCCATGCAGTTGATGACGAGGTCGAGACTGAAGTGGAGAAGATTGAGCAGGTGGTTGAAATGGCTTCAGCAGGAAATGATAAACGGGTAATATTCAATGCCAAGCGGATGCCATTCAGACTTCCCCCTCCTGCACCAATCTCCCGAAATGCTTATTTACAGGTCAGTTTGTGCACAGCCTTCCTTTTCTCAAATACTTAATGCTAAATGTAATATGTTTTTTCTTAGAAGAAGCATGCTTGCACTAATATTAAGTTTAATCTCGACCATTAATATTTCTATCTTTCAAAATTTTCTATAAATTGGCATCTAATATAAGCAGTTTGACTTGCAGTATGCGGGTGATGATGAGAACGTGGATGTGGTGGGCTGAAGGAGATGATGAATGTAATAATTAGTTGATACCTTAGGGTTTTAAGGATGAAATATCCCTCTCTGAAATATCTCTCATACTTAGCTTTGGCATACATGAACAAGTGAATCAGAAGCTCTGTGTATATATTTTTGGAGTATATTACAGTTGGAATTGATGTATTTCCTAGTTGTCTTAAGAAACATGATATTATATTATGTATATCAGTATTATTTAACATCCCCACCTCCATTTTACCGTGTCCGGGCACAATGTTCGAACACAGTACTATGTTAAAATGAAATTTTTATTTTGGTCATCTTTTGTTCAGATCGAATCAATATGTAGATCAGTAGATGTTACACAGCAAAAGAACGAGAGAGAGAGAGCGGTGGGAGATTTGCAGTCAAGCCTTTAAGTTTTCTGTCCCTCTTGAGTACTAGCTGGAATTTGTCACAAATTCAAATTACAATTTCTGTGAAGTAAACTGAATATAATTTTAACAACGATGACTTCTATGACCGAAGGGAATCGTTATTGTTGAAGAATGCTCTGGAAGAATTTTTTTGAAGAAAGTGTAATTTCATATGAGCAGGGAATCAAATCAGTGCTAACCACTTCCTTTAATTCACCGCGAGAACACGTAATTATTCATTCGATCTCAAATGTCAGTTCTAGTGTCACAATTCACAAAATCTCACGATTTTTTACGTTACCCTAATTTTTTTTTTCTCTCTTAATATACAGATCAAAGAGCAGGTGTACCGGCAAAATTCCATTATAAAATAAGACACAGTTCCCTCGTATAAGATACACTTTCTGTTCTTTGATGCTATAGTCAATTAAATAAAAAGCCAGATACAATCTAAAAGTAGCCATGAGCAAATTAATTAGCAGATTGGGAAAAAGTTGATGTCATGATAGTAAGCGGGCATCTCCTAATGGGTCTCCGAAGAGTCAATATTTTACAAGTCCCACGACCTATATTGCGTATTCCTTTCTATTGGCCACTTCAATGGATTAGGATTCTTCCTTCAAGCACTTGGGACACCTACATTTGAAACCATAATCTGCTAGCAAAGCCTGCCTCTCTTCGTAAGGAAGGTCCTCATCTATGTATGAAATAGTAACCTGAAAATTCCGATTAATTTAGTGGTCTTTAGTCTTTACTCAAGAATGGAAATTCGGTAGATGAAACATGTTAGAATCCAATGCTCCCAAGATGTAGATAATTGGTGACTCTTAATCAAAAAGAAGAATAGGATAATAAGAAGTAAAATTTGCAGCAACTGAGTCAGTGAAGTACCTCTTCTCCCTTACTAATGGGTCCACGTGCAATAATTGTTGCTTGACCATCTCTGTCCTGCAAAAGAGAACCAAAATGGATAAGATACAGAATCATAAAAGAAACTAATAATTCCCAGATGTCCCCTAATGGCATACAACCAGATACTTGGAAGGTTAACATTAACATGAAAAGGACCATGTTGCGTGTCTTTCTGGGCGAGGAGTAAATTAAAATATCTACATCACTAAATGACTAACACAAAATACAGACACTGTATAAGCAGATTGATTATAAACTGGACATACCTCCTCTCTTTTGAATGCTTTCGCATTAGGACAGCAGGAATGGTTCATACAACTCTGCAAAGGAAAGAATGCAGTCCCTAATGCAGAATAAAATAAACAAATAAATAAAGAACTAAATTGTGTTAGAAGAATTAAGATGATGCAGGAATTTCCCCAAAAAGAATGGGGAAACCTTCCAGAAAGAAAAAGTACCAAGCAGACATAAATCAAAGTCTTAGTTAGTACATCCACTCATTGTTTCATTCACACATGGGAAAGTAAGGATTTCTAGGCTTCCATCTCAGGGAAATTATAAATGAAAAGTTTGAAAACAATCATGTTAATAAATGAAGGTTTAGCTTTGATACAGATCCCTTTCAGCTCACTGTTTGGCAATCAACTCACGCACACCACAGAAATTCAAATAATTCCACAGACATGAAATATTCCAGAATTATATTGATAATCAAAGAATTATATATACTGAATTATCAGAGAAGTACATAAACTGAAATACAGAAAGAGTAACTGATAAATGCAGAACAGAATTCTAGCACTTCAAGGAGCTAGAGACCTCCCAGTATTATTCCCTTAACAAACTAACCATACTCACGTCTTAAGACTCTTCCCTTATATTCCCATTGATTCTCACTCAAGCCCCAATCAACTAAGGACACATATACAGTCAACTTAACTAACTCCCCTTCCCTTTATGCACACCCAACGTCCCTCTGCCTTGCCTGTGATAATTCTTAATAATGGGTGGCCTAATAAGCTTGAAGCTCAATCATATAATTCATTCAGATAAAGAATGCAGCAGTATGTCACAAACTGTATGGCTTTTATTTTCTTCTCTTCTGACACAAATTTCAATACAAATACCTCATAATGTACTATTTTTTAAGTATCTGCAAAAAGATGAAAAATTGGATACATTATACTATATAGTCTATATATTATATATTTCACAAACAGACAAGCAACTTCATTTCAATGACAAACCTTGGCAACAAATTGAATAGTCATCACCAAGAGAATCAAGAATCGGCCGTGTAACTAACTCAGCTTCTTTCTGCAGAGATGATAGAATGAATGGTGTCAGCACCCAGAATCATTTATTATACAAAATTTAGGAATAAGAATAAATAATGCATGCATTCAGACCTTTTCCGGATATGGGAGGTCATCAATGTACAAAAAAAAATCCTCCACTGGAGATGCTACAACCAAATCACTGCAAATGTGGAACTTCAAATTATCATTTAAAAGCCCCAAGTAAATAACATGTATAAATTGAGAGGATACAACATCCTCGTCAAATATGCATTGCAGTAGGTCTTGCTGTGTGCATACTCTATTAATTAACAAAAGTAAAAAGACATGGGAGAAGCCTTGGAAATTGCAATGCTTACAGATTATTAAGCTCAAACATGCCAATTATATGCCCATAGACATCAAGGGAGAATACTTTGTTAAATCAAGGACTTCCATCAATAAATTTCAGAAGTGGTAAGAAACAATACTACTTCAAAAGAAGTGCTCCAGTTGAATAAAAACTTTAGAAAGGATACGTGGCTCACACTCCTTCTCAAAGATGGCCTCCTTAAGGAGCTTTAGTGACTGAAAAAATTCAAATGGACAAAGAATTACACATACTGCAACTAGCAACTGTGGCATATTTATAATCTTATAACGGCCAACAACTGATAGAAGAAACTGAGGACATTGAATTCAACAAATATAATAGAAAGCAGAAAGAACATGAGGAGATAAACAAAGCATTTGGTAATATGAGGAACATGAAGTAAACATTTTCTTAAGCAAGCAAGAGCAATTGTAAATTTTAATCCACCATATAAATTGACAATGGGGTTACTGACATTTCTAATATTCCATCAGAATTTGAACAGACTGTTAAAAGGAGAAAACATATTCAATCATTTTTTCTCGAATGCATTTTCTTTATAACATGGTCCTACCGTGAATGCAAGCTCCTTTATTTGCTTTCTGAAAGAAGCTTCATCAGAATAATCCACATCGTCTGGTAATGCAATACAGTCCCACCACCTACAAAAATGAGAAGTGCAGGTGAGTCTCCTGATATTCTTCAGAACTTTAAAACCTTGTATACAGATACATAGATCCAGCAGAAAAGCAACCTAAGGTTGGTGGATATTTTGTTTCTAGGTGTGATATATAGAAGTAGCACTAATAAGTAACTACCTTCTCTTGTATCCCATAGATATTGGCTTCCATGCTTCCAAAAGTAAAGACAAATCAGAACTGTCCAAAGCATCAGGTGAAGTGTGTTTTCCTCCTTGATGAGCCGCTTTGAGCTTCGTATATCTTAAAATGGTGAAAGAAATTGCCTGAAAATAGAAGGCAAGGAATCTTTTTGTTCAAGACTGGGTTCATGTCAAATATAAGCATTAAAGATACTTTCTCTAGACACTCAAATGTTAAGACAAATATGAATTTGTAAAGCAATATGCATCAAAGTTTAGTTTTACAATATTTGAATAGTTAACTTATAACATTAAGTTGTCCTTCTATTGCAATTTCCTTGAGCAAAAGTAAGTCAAGTTAGATCAATTAAGAATGCATTGGTAATCAGTGTTTGGCACCTTACATGAATCATTATGACATATGGATGTGCAGAAATTCTATGAACCTCTCACAAAATAGTTTCAAGTATTGCATAGTAGACTTCAACAAGATGAGCAACAATACACAAAAACAAGAGGTGCTCACTTTCATTATAATTTCCAGGCATAACAACAAAATGGATAATTTCCTTTCATGGTATGACAAGAATTATGTTAAATTTTTTTTAGAATTAGTCAATTCTCATGTCAAATAGAAAATCATGTAACACTCAAATATTGAGGTCAATGTCTCTAGCATTTTCCAACAATTTCTTAGTCCTGTTCTCTTTGGTTCCTCTCATCTCCTGGAAGGTCAACTTGAGAAGTGATATAGATGAAAGAGAAAGGTAAACAGTGGGTGGCAGATCCTATTGAGGTGGAGTTTCCTTAAATTTATATGGGATCCCTCTTCAATCAGAGAAAAAGTACCTATAATGCTAGTTTTGTGGATTTAAAAAAAAAAAAAAAATTGAGTAGGTGATAGCTAATATACAGACAGTGAATATATATATATATATGATAGAACATACCTTGGCAGCTAGAAGGAAAATATCATTTGTTCCTGAGAAAGAAAAAACAATACAAATAATAATAATAATAATAATAATAATAATAATAATAATAATAAGTGACAAAGTAGAAACCAGTAATTTAAAAACAAAAAATCTCACTAGTTAAAAGTATGCTAAGTAGCAATAAATCCGAAATGTTAGAGCCGTACCATTAGCATGTTGTATAAATTTTGAAAGTGCCTCCCTAGATGGTGATTCTGACCTCTCCCCAGTGCAAAGTATGGAATGAAACAATTCCCAATCAGTCTCAGCACATGACTTGCTGCACCATGTTCACATCATTACCCAAAAAAGAGAAAAAAAGAAACATGGTCCATAAGAAAATTGACCGCATAAGAAAGATATTAAACTGACTTACCTACAATAGTATGCTTCTTTGCATCCCCCAGAACAGGAAACAGCCGAAGGCAAGGGAAACTTATTGGAGTAAGGCAATACCAATTCACCATTCATCAACGATTCCACAACCCCGTTAGGTAGAGAGATATTATCTTTCGAACTACTGGAAGCACAATTTTCCAAATTTTGATGATTTTTCACTTGAGATTCATCTTCCATGTCAGATGAAACAGTATCAAAACAGTTATTTGAAACGTGCGAAGAGGTCTCCATATCACAACAATCATTTGCAGAAACACCTAGATTTTGCAAATATAATTTCCTCCCAATTTGAAGTTCTATAGATCCAATAAATCGGAAACAGAAGCTACACACCAAACAGTCTACCTGAAACACGGAAATGAAAATTATAAGAGTAAATGCACAAACTCTCAAGAGAAGATGAACCAAGAAACATATAAAGGATGCTTATAATAAAGAAAGAAGACCTTGTTTGAAGAATGCTGAATTCCCACAAGCATTTGATCCTTCAAAACCAGTTCCTCTTCTCTAAAGTCCACTTCAGCATACACACCTGCAGTTCACCAGTAACAATAAGATAGATTTTGGGATGTTTAGTGCCTCAGAAATATTTCAGTTATCAACTTTATACTAGCAAAAAAGTTTTTTTTTTTTTTTTTTTTTTTTAAGTGATATAAATGAATACATTACAAGGCTCATCAAATGGCAACTTGACTGAGAACTGAGAGAGACACTAAGCACTAAGAAAAGCGTACCCCTTCCAAGGTGGGTATTTTGATGGACTTTTATACCCTGGGAAGGTCTAGTTGATATAAGGTTATCAAAATAATCCTGCAAATAAATTGTAATTGTTTCAAAGGAAGAAAGAAATAGTGTAGAAGAAAAAAAAGAAAAGTGGAGTAATCGAATTGCCTGGACTTGGAGAGGTGAAGGAGGCTGGAGAAGAGAAGAGACTTGACTTGCACACTTTTCGTCGATTGGGCATACACTTGCCATCTCACTGAAACACCTCTCCTCTGCTCCGCTTTGCATGCGACGCCGCAATCAATACTTGCTATGATGAGAGAAGAAAATGCTTGAATACAAGCTTCACTGAAATTACCTCTTATTAGTATCCCAGGGATGGAAGTCTTTACTTTAGAAATTGTGGACTAAATTTTTCACTAAACCTCTCGGTCATTATGTAATTTTAACATTTATAAATATTAATAATTTAAACATTGATTTTTTTCGTATTATTAATGTATAATAAATAATATTTTTTAAATTTTAATATGAAAAAAAGAGTGATATTTTGTTGAAATAAAAAAAATATGAATGTATTAAGATCTCAAAAAAAAAAAAAAAAAAAAAAATCTAAAAGGTTGTTTTAGATTATTTTTTCCTAAATTTTATTTTATTTAATTTTTTCAAAATGACTAATAAACACAACTTTAATTTAATGAAAATCAAATTACAACGATACTAACATTAACTTTTCCATCGGAACAAAGAGTTGTATGAATACAAGTAGATGAAAATCAGTAATGATAGGGGAGAAATTGCAAGTGTTATCACAACCGTATTATTGGACACCAAAATTATTGTTGATCCATACTCTTTAATTTAAACAATATCAACTACAGACATAAATATATTATGAGATTTCCAGTTGACAAAGCCTATTTCACAAATTTCAAACAAATGAAGCTTCTTCTCCCTTCATCTCAAACGCAATAACTTTAAAAGAGCGCCTGAAAACTTTTCTACTGAGCCGGAATACATGAAACCAATGTGGAGAAAAAGATGAGAGATTTATCTCTTTTTACTGCCTCTAGTGTCATACACATCCGAAGAACTGTTCCAATGATGGAGAACAGAAAACATTTGAAGCACTTCTTTCAGGTCTGGTGGACGAAATGTAAAGTTGATATTTGATAAATCTCTGTAACGAAAAAAAAAAAGAACTCAGATGGCAAGCATTATGTAGACTGAGATGAACATGAAAGCAGAACAAAATATAGAAAACTTTAGCTGAGTATTGAAAGTATACAGCTAATTGAGAAATGATTTCAAGATTTGTGTCAATGTGCCAGTCAGGCTCCAGTTGGCGAACGAAAGATGACCGCCCTATCTCTGTGCTACAAAAGAGAACCTGCTTATGCATTGGTTTATTTTAAGTCAGACATAATAAAGTGGTAATTGATTAAAAATAATTAAATATTTATCAATATTATCTCCACCACAAAATTTTCCACAATTTTTTTCTTACGTACTATTAAATATTAATTCATCCAGTCAAACTTTCAAGTTTCAACAATAAAGTTCATGAAACTTTACCTTGTCTTTGACCAAACCTCCTGATGTGAAAACCCCTGCATTTTCCAAAGCCACAAGTATTTTTTTCTGCAGACAACAGGTCAGGATGTAATGGCGCAAAAAGTATACTACAGTTTGAAAAACTAAAATCAGACAGCTAGCAAAGAGCTTATTCAAGTTACTGCCACTTAGCAGAACCACCAAAAGGTTCCTAGACCTCCAATATGAAAGCAGAGATTGAGCGAATCTACAATTACATGCCAAGTATTAAGATAGACCCTCAAAACTGTGTAAATTAGAAGTTAAACAATCCATCTTGGAAAGAGAAATTTATGACCCATTATCTTCGAGTATAAGAGCATGAGTTCTTCGCTTTTAGGTAGTTTTGACAAATTGAAACTCAGGCATCTTACACAGAGATAGACCAAAAGTTTTTATCTTCCTAGTTTAAACTTATACATCAACCGATCATCCCAAATTTCTTTTACAAAATATTTTCTAACGGAAAGAAAATGCTGAAGGTTAATAGAGAGATCAAATAAACATAAAAATGTCAAAAAGATTAATGAAGCTTTACTCATGAAACAACACAAAGAATATAAGCATGGTATAGAAGAATGATAACATGATTACGGTAAGCAATGGGGTTTAAACGCACTTCACTTTCATCATCAAGTACTCTTTCCATAAGATAGAGATCACAAAACTTCGTGATCTCCAACAGAACTTCCAGCACAGATGACCGTACAGTTGCTTGGGTCTGCACATAATAAATGAATTAAATTAATCATTTCTAGAACTCTATTTCAAGTATAGAGCTGACAGGAAAAAAATTCTCACCAGCTGGATCTCCTCTGGACTGCTTTCCTCAAGGATTACTCCAAGCAAACGGCATGTCACCTACAAAAAATTAGTCGATGCATTAAATTTTAATGGGGGTCTAAAAACTCCAATATAGCTTTGCCAAACAACACAATATTGCATTATGTTAACTGAATTCATAAGCATTAAATTCCAGCACACCCAAACATCTATGTTAAATTCCAGTACACCTAAACATTCTATTGGAGGCAAAGACCTATACATATGGCCCGAACAATGGCAAAATACAGCCTTTTGACATAGCCAAGTCCCAGAAGGTAGTTTAGTCATCTATCTTTTAACAAAATAATTTTACAAAGTAGTAGCTTTATAGGTGGTAATTTGTTCATTTAGTGTTTTGCTGCATGGGTTCGGCATTGAATCTACAATGATTTATTAGGTCTTTATTAATGCATTTGGTTGATTTGGGATAGTATTCTTCAAATTCCTTACTAATAAGGTTCAAGCAATCGTTAAGAAGTATTCAAATCTCCATAGATATCTTCATATTCCTTTTTCTTTTTCTAATATACAAAACAATAAGCTTTATGTTAAAATAATACATATATTCTTATTCCTAAGGGCAAAGTTGACTTAATAATAAGAATTTTTATTATTGACAGTTTTGAGTGGTGTGATACAGTGATTGTTTTTCCATAATTCTTCTTGATATTCTTCTATTTCTTCTTGTAGTCTGTCTGCTACAAGATCCAGTTTACTTATTTTTTTACTAAGATTTCAAATTTACTTACTTTTAAACAAGATCAATTATCATGAAAACCCCAACTTATCCTCCTCCAATCATAAACTCCGGAAATAAAAAATCCCGAAAATTATCACTTACTCTACTCTCGGATAATAAGGCACAGCCTACAGATGGCTTTGAGTTGGCTGTCAGTCTGAAGATTATTATCTACTGCTAGACCATCATAATCCTACCTACCCCTAATTCACAGTATATGAATTCCATCATAATTTGTTCGCAAAATGCATTACTTCTCAAAATTTTCAACCCTTTCCATTTGCACTAACTCCTAAATTTATGCCCAGCATAAAGCAAATAACCAAACACACCAAGTTATCAATACATTAAACACCTAGAGTCAATTCAGGGCAGGTTTGAGATTCTACTACAACAAATCCTTCCCAACAGATAACATAAATGCATTAAGAAAACCTGATATTATATGTAGCATATCAGAAAGGATACGTAAATTTACCTTTCTTCCTTCACTCAGTTTCTGCCTAACTATTTGCCCCAAAGTTGGCTGAAAAAGTAAGGAAAAAGATTTTGGGATAAAAGAGACAAATTAATGATGAACCATGTCAATATGAACAAAAATATTCAAAATTTGCACAAAGAGATATATGCTTACCTTTACTGGTTGAAAGAACTCATCGACAACATTTTGTGCTCTTAGATCTTCAGGTGGTGCACTAATTCCGGAAGGTATCACAGTCGTATTAGACTGAGGACTGGCAATTGAATTACTGGTTGTAGGAGCTTGTCGTTTTGGTGGCCTTCTTTGAGGTCCACTTGGTGATCTAAACATCCGCCAGGTAAAGACTATTGCAAGGGCTAGCCCTGCAATAGCCCATACTGATCGTGAATCCTGTATCAATAGAAACTATGAGAACTCCAAATATAACAATCTGAAATCCCTGAATTCCTCGTTTTCTTTTTAATTTAACATTCCCAAATACTCAAAGATCAATGTAAAGCTTCACAAAACAAATAGAAAGGTACCAGTCTGAGTGTCTGAATTAATAACTTCTTTTCCATTGTTATCTAAAAAAATGAAAAACAATATCTTGGTTGGATTCATATATCATTATGTAAATTCTATGTAACAGAGTCCAACAATTACACTTCACAGTTTACGAAAAACTTTGGTAGGAAGCATGCTATGCATCCAAACCTGAGCAGCTTCAGCTAAATTTTCTATGCTTAAGTTGGCTCAAGGGGGGTTTTCATGAATTAGGTCAAGCTTCAACACGCTGGTTCACACTTAGCCACCCAAAAAGTTTACATATAATACATAAATCATTTTCTAACAAAAAGAAACACTTTAAAATAAACCGTAAAAAGTAGTAATAATCATAAATAATTAATCATTTCAGTTAGAAAAAAAAAAAAAATACCTAGATTGAACTTAACCATTCAAAATTTTGCCAACCCATGAAACCCAACTTGCCAACAACCATGAATAGGTTCGTTGAATCAGATAGCTTGTGGAAGATGCGCAATCCAATCATCTTCAACAAAAAGATCATTCTAATCTTAACCACTCTCTTTCCAATACATTTAACATGTAACAAGGCGAAAAGTCCCTTATCTTTAGAATTAAAAAGCTATTAATATTCTAACTTTTCAATCTTCGTTGTTAATTCATGGAAAATCGTTCCACTAATCACTAAGAAACAATGTCCCTAAAATTACAAATTAAATTAAATTAACATAAATTTTGCGGTACAAACAGTCTCAGATCAGCCATAAATTTAACGCAATGTTCAAAAAAGCCAAAGAGAAAAGGGGGGAAGTACCAAGTTATTGAGAGAGAAGAAAGAAATTTGACATCTTGACAGTGAGATAAGCCCCGAACCGTTTGATCAGCTGAATTAGGTCTTCCCTAGATGATGATGACGACGACGACTCCGCCATTTGCCTGAATACGAATTGAAACGAAGTCGTTTCCAATAAAAAAAAGGGGTGATAAAAGCGGTGCTGTTTAGATGTTGCTTGAGGGTTGGGGATTTCAGATTCTTCTTTCCAGGTATTTCATTGCTTAAAAAAATGAAACGGAGGCAGTGGCAAAAATTTTTAGAAACAAAGAAAAAGCTTTGTGCTTTTGCGTCAACGATCGAGAAATAGTTTCTACAGTGATGCGATTTTTTATTTCTTTTTATTTTTTGGGTTTTCGAGTTTCATTATTTTATATTATTTCTATTAATCTTTGATTAATTTTCTGATTGGGTATGTGTCTTGTTCAAGAGCGAGGTGGATAGATATGATTGGTTGTTTGGGAAGATTAGAGTAGGGAGACTACTGTAGAAAGACTTCAGCATAATTGATTAATTTTGAATGATTTTAATTAAATATCAAAATATTGTTTAAATTACTTTTTCTTTGATTCGAGATTTCATTAAATTGAACTACAATATAAAATAGAATTGGACTTGTAGTTCTACTTCTCTACACTCTCCCGTCCCGAACTTCACAAAGTTTTATAGTCCTCGTCTTTTGTACACAATGAACTTGCATAACAACAATATTCATCACATCCATGGCATCTTCTCCTATTATGATATAATCATCAAAATTTAAAGAATCCCTTAGTGACCTTTAATGATATCAAATTAATCTACAAAGTTAACAATATTTTCTCAAATTTTATTGCAACTTTCTATAATCATCCGTCATCTTATTGCCAACTTCCGTTGTCCAATGCTACTTTCGGTGTTTTAATTTTCCTTTTACATTCTTTTCTTCAGTAATGCTATATGGAAATGCATGAATATGTAACAAAGATCACGGAAGGAAATCAAAATCATGACTTTAACTTGAGGTTATATCTGACAAGTATGCACTAAGCCAGCAAAGAAATGAAGAAAATTTGAGTCAGGTGTGTCCACTACTTGAGGGTGGAGAGCAACTCTCAGTATTTTCGATTGATATTTCAGTCACATCGTCTACATTATTGGAGATTAAGGACCTTTCAATCTTCAGGGCAGTGCCATTCATCAGCATCTCCTTTTCCAAGTGCAAGCAGTAGCTCTCAAATACTCTAGAGCTCACAGTAACTCCAAAATCTAGAAGGAAAAGCAGTTCAAGTTCAAGCCGGTTCAATTCCGCATTGCTTACTCCCCCAACTCGAGCATAGAATGCGTTGTTGTAATGTCTACATTATTCCAATATCAAAGAACAAAAAAATCACCAGGATTAATCCTCATCTTGTAATTTAAAAGAGGTGTATGTTCTTGTCAGGCTAAGATTTGTAAACATGAATCATATTAGATTTGCTTCTTAGCCTATATTTAGCTTATATTCTGTCAATATAAAGATACTGCACCGAATAGAGCTGTATAAGATTCAACTGTTTCAGATATAATATTAATCAAAGCCATTACTGGTAAGAAAAACAGAATATAAAAATTCCTTCACCATCCTGAAAGAGAAGTAGAAAACCGATGAACAGATAACTATACGAGCGAGAAAATAACGAAAAAAAGAAGACATAACTTACCAATCTAAATCTAAAAGATGGTCTAATGAGAAGAAATATGTAATACAATTAATAAATGTAACTCCGTTCATGAGGTGAAGCGATGAAAGGAAACTCACATATCATCGATCATCTTAGAAGCAACCATAACACTTGTAACAAGCAGCCTGTGGACATTCAATGATATGACAAGGGAGTCAGGGTGTTTATGCAACAGCCTGTCTATATACACATAACCAACCACAAAACACGATGGGCTACAGTTGGTGTACTTGTATATTCTCTCCAAGTACTTTGGTATGCTTATGCTCGGAGCCCTCACCCCATGAAATGCGTTCAAGCTCTTCCCAACTCTGCCCAAGCTACAACTCACCCCATTCACCGCCTGCTGGCTCAACTCATTAGCTAGCCTGTCGTTTCTTGCCACCAGCTTCTCCACCACCGATGACAGAATGGTTAGAACTCTTGGTGTGGTTGACTCGATTTGGCTCGGCTCCGGCAGCCGGCTTTGGTGGTTACTGTACTCAGTTGCGGCTAGCATTTAGTCCATTTTACTGCTTTCTTCTGATAGGAAGTGTGAGAATTTCTAAGATTTTGGGTGGTTCAGAGTGGCTGTACTGTATCTGTTGTATGTGCATGTTTGTGTGGACCTTCTTAGTCATGAACTGGGTTTATGACAAGTGTACGTTGCTGATTAGTCATAGAAATTACCAAAGATGGTGATAGGATAGACGTTACAGTGTTCGGAGGATTTGGTCGGTCGGATGAAAAGGTGAGACTGGGGTGGGGTAAATCTGAACCGTTTGAATTGAATGGGTCCGAGGAGTCGATGGGTAAAAATTCGAGATAGATATTAATTGGACAGCAACAATTCATGAAATGCTTGGTCGAAAGCCCAAACAATCAGCTTCTGTTTGGTCTTTAAAAAGAACTGACAGCACATAATTCACTTCACCCAGTAAAAATTTCTCTAATTTGTATAATGATACTAAAAACAAAATCAAGTAATGTATTTGTATAGACAATTTTAAGCATCACTTTTCTAAGAACAAAAGAATTTTGATGTCTCTATATAAAATTGAAGTTCAAAATTTTTAATGAAGAATGTTGGTTATGACAAAAGCCTCGGATATTGCTCGTGGCAAGACAACCACTCGGTTGGTCTATATATTGTGGTCACTAGAAACAAGTAATTTGGCATCTTCATTTATGATGTCGTTGGCGGCCAGCTGAATATTGGACTTGGAGGAGTTCAATTTATTCCACTCATTTTCAACACGGAAAAAAGCCCATTGGAAGCGACGGAATATCTCCAAGGCAGTGATTGCGAACACAGTAAGGTAATTATGCCGGAGATGGGCAGACAGCTTGTATGTCCATGTGCATCGCAGGATCAAATTGCTTCCTATAACCCAAACATATACCTGCAAATCCATGGATAAAATTAAGTCAATGAAAAAAGAAATTGATATATACTAATGTTGTGTTGTAACAGAACCAAAGCTGAAGATGTTGCTGAATCATGTCATTTAGGCCACAGATTTTGTCTGGTTACCAACAGTTAACGCAACTTTTTATGCTCCCAGTGTTGTCATCATTCATCATTGTCAATTCAAGTGTCATGCATACAAGGTAAGGAATTTCATTTCTTGGTTTGGTCCAACCAGATAAGTAAGATGAGATCCAGGAGATACTATTCTGAATAAGATAATTATAAAATAGGAGAAAGACATATATCCTTACCCATTTTCGTCCATATAAAAGGTAAGAGAAGAGATTTGGTCTGCTGAACTTAAAAATCCGAGTGAAACAACTGCCAAAAAAAAGAATATTTGCATGAAAATATCGGTAAAAGATACTAAGTAAAACATCAAAATAATATGTGTCTTCTGTGCTCTAATATAACCTGAATTGCCATATATATTAAAGTTAAAAAAAAAAAAATGTAAGACACATAAGCATCAAATGACAGATTTAATGGACATGATGAGTTCCAATCACATAATCAAGTAACTTGGTGATTATCATCCGATAATTTCTCCAAAAAAAAAAAATTCTGACATATATTTCTCTATCACAGGCTCAATATTTGTGTGCATTAGAGGGAAGCAAAAGACAGTGGAGGTGCTAATTGTATAACAGTGCAAGAGTTGCACTAACAAATTAATAGAAAATGATTTGAGTCATTGAGGCAATTTAAGAGCAAGAGCCAAAGAGGCAAATTTACATATAACATTTGTGAAGCGATAGAAAGACATTTTAGCATACCTCAAGTCCCAATCTCTGGTCAAATCCCAATAGAATGAGTACGAAGAGTTCAAAACACTAGAAATGAGCCAGAGGGGCCGATAAAAGTTTGTCCACTTCTCAGGGAAGACATGATATTTAAGGGCTGAAAGAAAAATCACTGGTACTGCTGTCGAATATTTTAAAGCTGAAATCATAAGCACATAAGGTTACTATACCTGACACGAAACTATCATAATAAATCATTGGATACATATATACTCACATGCATCCAATACATACATATTTAGTATCTACAAAAGAAATCTTTTACCTTTAGACACAAAGAAACTATAGCATTGAACAAGAAAAACATTAAACTATTGAGAAAAACAGCAAATAAAAGCATTGGCTTCTACAGAATCAACTCAAAGGCATAAAAGTAGTAACCCAGTTCCTAGATGCATTCTGCTGTCACTTCAAGGATGTAAGAAAATATGGAACCTTGAAATGATTTAAGGTTGAAATGCATGTACATTTAACTTTCAAGTTCTCTCTATTGTTTGGCAGGCAAAGCATGTGGAGGATTTTTTTTTTTTTTTTTTTTTTGTTTTTTTTGGGGCAAAATGTTCACTGATGCATAACATGTATTTCAGCCAGAAGCAGCCTAATCCGATAATGATTCAAACGAATATTCCTCCATGGTATTTAACAACAACCTACAAACTAGTTGGCTCAAAAATATTGCAATACTCAAACACCTATAACACCTCCCAAAGAGAAAGAGGTCCAACAGAAAATGAAGAAATAAATATATAAAAGGTAATCCAACAGATTTTACCATTGAAAAGGGTTGTCTTCTCCCTGGTGTCTTTGTATTGTCGAAGACATTGAAACAAGCGGAATAGATAAGGCAAAACTAAAACAAAGGGGATTGCAATGGAGTGACTGCCACAAACAGAATCAGCTTCAAACCACGCAATAGTGGCAACCTGCATGTTTTAGAAACAGTCTTTTAAAAAGAACAAACAAAGCATGTGTCTATCCAGATACACATAAGTCAATAAAGAAAAAATTATGTGTGATATTTTAATACAATTAACGGCTATAGGTTAAGTAAAATCAGCTATAAAGTACATGTACAAGGTTTGACAAAGTTGTGTTTGCTTTTGCCACTTTATCTTATAATCTAAATATGTTTAGATTTTTGGTTTCTTTTCTTTTTAAATTACCACTTATTTTCAAATAAAACATCTGAATACAAAAGGTTAAATTTTATCACTTAGTCCTAAAATTTTAATGAACTAGATAATCTAAACCACCCTTATTCAATAATAAATATAAATTTTAATGATATAAATAAGATTTTGTAATTTGTTTCTTTTAAAAAATTATAAGATTGTTCACCACCACAGTTGCCAGTCACGGGAATTCAGCCTTTTGCCTTCAGGATCCGGTGACGAGAAAGTTTGCCAGCGTGTTTTATTAATAATATTAGTATCAAAATGATTGTCTCTGAACGATCTATCTAACCATACAATTTTTATAGCAATAGACGCGACATTTAGTCAGGATCTGATGGAGAAAATTCATCCACCCAAACGTTATCTATCAGATCTCGGCCAAACACCACTTGTTTTGCTGTTGCAAGTTACAAAGATAAATAAATATTCAAACACAATCATTTTGATACTGCTATTGTTACCCAAACTCACCAGTGACTATACCAGTCACCGGATACCAGCGACTGGAGTCCAACTGCCAATTATTAAAATCGAAGAGTAATATTGTCTCACGAAAGAGAGGTAAAAGATAGAGCAAAGTTAAACCAAAACATAAGAAACCCTGGAAAAGCAAATGTTAATCTAATATAGTTACTCTACTAACATGCATGAGTACTGGCTCCAGCACAAAACCCTAACCTGTCGATGAACCATTCGACATACTGAACGCTCCAAATCTGAGAACACCTGCACAAGATTCACAATGACAAGTCAGCAAGGATACACCAGGAAATTGAGAGATAAATATCCAAAAAGATATAGTAAAACACAATCAAAGAACTGTTTGATACATCACAAATGAAAACTTAAATTAAAAGAAAAAAGAAGACCTGTATATCTTTTTTTTTAAAAATTAATTTATGGAAAAAAAAATGCAAATATATCAATTTTTTTATAAATGAAACACAAGAATAAAATAAGAGAATACCTAATTGGACAACAGGATGCATACCTTTGCCATGGAGGTCATGATATCGGCCAAGAAGAAGTCAGGAAATGATATTGCCTGTATTCAGCACATGAAATAAATTTAAAGAATAATATGAAACCTAAACTACTTGACATTCAAAGCATTGCTTGAGACACAAAAGGGATCAGTTTGAATGAGACTAATGATCGCGTGGCTCAAGGTGTTCATACTAGGTCATAACAAGGCATGTTGTGGTAGGACACAATTCCACAAGACTATTTTAATCCAATATAACTAAGAATCACTAGTATTAGTTTATAGTGGTCCAACAACATTTTTGCAGTAGAACGTTTTTGGGAGGCTTTGCGATCAAATCCTGTAAGGCTATGTGCAGTTATGCATGTTGCACACTTTCCACTTTGAGAAAGAAATTTAGACAAAGCTAGTAGTTTTAATTATTCCCATTGGAATTTAATAGTAGCATATTTATTTCTTCAAGACGACTTCTGTTAGGATCCCACATCGGGATCTCACACCCATCAAGTGTGGTACTTAAGCTTAGGCACTCTCCCACCTATCAGGCCGGTCTTTTGGGTTGGGCTCTCCCTTGGGCTTAAGTACTAACATTGGTGCTTTCATTGAGACCTGGGCTGCGGAAATGGCTACCTATAGACTAGATTAAAGTGCAATGTGCTCTCCTTGGGATAGGGTGTTGTATCGAATAACTAATAGGTGAGTGAAGCCGTCCAAAGGAGGAAAGGGCAATCGTCGGGTCAGTGGCGATAGAGTGAAAGCCGTCATGGACATCGGCTCTTGAAGGAGGTGCAATGTTAGGATCCCACATCAGGATCTCACACCCACCAAGTGTGGTACTTAAGCTTAGGGGCTCTCCTACCTATCAGGCTGGTCTTTTGGGTTGGGCTCTCCCTTGGGTTTGAGTTCCAACATTGTGGAATGTTAGGATCCCACATCGGAAGGGAAAGGGGTGGGCATGTGGGTTATAAGGGCTTGGACACCCTTCCTTGGCAAGCCGATTTTCCAAGAAGAGTTCTACCTAAGCCCATGAAAGACTCATGGCCCAGCCATCCCACATTGGAAGGAAAAGGTGTGGGCATGTAGGTTATAAGGGCTAGGACACCCTCCCCTTAGCAAGCCTATTTTCCAAAGAGAGTTCAACCCAAGCCCATGAAAGACCCATGGTCCAACCCAATTGTTGAGTTATTGA